TAGGGCAAACTGATCATGCGCGAATCACTTTACAAAGCACTCTTGTCATCCCACATTGAATACGCATAAAGTAAAATARAACCGCTCTTGGCTGTCCAAGATATAAAGGTCCATRCATGTGACCAAATAGGCTCATTCTATTGGCCTAGTAGCTCATTAATTATGTATGAGTTTTTGAAGAAAAAGTGATAATTGTGGTAAAAAATGCTCCTTTCCTATAATAATAATMATTGAAATCAAGGAATGTCTGTGTGACTGAGATATTCCTCAGCGTGCGTGGGCGATCTATCAGACCAGTCCTGGTTTACAATAATGGCTTTTATTCAATTCCTCCAGCGAAATTATATCAAAATATAACGCATCAGTCAGCAATTTCGGGCAAGAGCGATGCTAATATCAATCTAGCCTCCTCYGTACTTGTCATTCTCTCTACTTTTTTAGCCTTTTTATAGGTTTGGAAGTTTGAATTTTTTCTTTCCATCTGGCCAATGGAGTTAACAACACTTGTGTAAATTCTCGCGCGCTGTTTGGCTGACACCATCACGTCTCGCGCGCGCGTCTAGTTAAAAAAAAAAGATTTTCGATAATTTTTAGATTAAATCCGGTAAAAAAACACTGTTTTTCGTTGTATGTCCTCTTGTATTGACACACTCTTGACGTCACAAAATGTTCAAAACCTTCGGCAGTAAGCAAACCAAACCCACTCACTCGAAAAACTGCGCAATTTTTGCACAGCTGTTTCGTTCCTTGGCAACTACTAGTTTTACAGTCTTATTTGACAGAMCAAGGACAACGATTTCTTTACTTAGCTTACCACTCGCTTCCTCTACGATTTAGAATCAGTACAAAGTTCGTAGCCTGTGTCGCTCTCGTTGCTCTGCGTAGCCTGTACATTCTCGTACCCAGACCCTTTTCATCTGAGGTGAATCTTCAGTGTGCGCATTGAAGCGAGGCAACAGACACTTTCAAGATGGCGATTGCTAGACTAACTTTGATGGGATTTGCCTTAGGCCTTAGTTTGGGGATTTTTTCAACATATGTTACATTACATTTTTCTAAGGATATTATCTCTTTACGTAATTTCAAGCGTCAGTATTTGACAGAGGATTATGAAGACCAAGATATTCATGGTAGAAGCAATGTAACAAAGCCAAAACGTCCCACAAATCTAAGTATCGATTCAAAAGTTGACTTCAATCAAGATATGGACGATGAACATCACAAGCAAAGTAAAAAATCTTCCTTC